AATGCAGGCAGGACGCTCATCCTGGCGTTACTGGAGCAATCCTCATAAAGTTTGCTTGACTGGCTTTGTTTTATAACGTGCATCAAACTTCACCACGGAAACCCCAAACAGTATCGAGATTTCCATAAAGATTTTTAAATATATTATCTGGATTTCTCTCTTCCCTCTTTTTCCCTCTTACTCTGTCTCTAACCGAAGCAGGAGAGGGAAAAAAAAAAAAAAAAAAAGATCTGGAAAATGGGCCGGAAAACTAATAGGGTAAAAATCGAATGATCTTATTTACAGAGGGTTCCTGGGCCCGCTATCGGGTGGAGTGAGGGGGTCTCAAGGCGAAGGGCGGAGCCTTGCGGGGCCGAGTCTTGCTCCCTCCCTCCAGGCGCCCACCCAGGAGAGCAGCGCACCGGGGAGTTTGGATATCTCCGGAGCTCGCTTGCGCCAGGGCATTCCTCTTGACTTCTTAAAACCAAATTTCAACACCACCCGAGCTCCCGCAGGGTTGCGGGAGCTTGGGTGGTCACGGGGGACCCCGAGGCGCGCTGGGTGTGGCTGTCATTGGCGCCTCCTGGCGCCGGGCTGCATCGTGGGAATCTCCGAGGGGCGCTGCGTTGCTGGCGTCTGGGCGCACCGGGATCCCTGGGCTCCGCAGCGGGTCTAGGACTGCAGGCCTGGCCCAGCCAGGACTGAGAGACGCGGTAGCCTTAGGCAATCTTCGGGGCCCGCCCCCTTTGTCTGGGCTCCCGTCCCAGCATGCCTGCTGCACGCCCCTCGGGAGACCCCAAAGGGTGGGGAGCACACCCAGCCCCACGAATCTGCAGCCACCAGGCTCGGGCAGTGATGCCCAGGGCCACTGGGCCACTCAGAACCCGTGCGTAAAGGACTGGGCTGAGGTGTTCTGTTTGTTTCTGGGGACCGCAGAGGGAGGGGACTGGGCGTGATGGGGGGGGGGGGGCGTGGAGGGAGGGTTGTTGTTAGAAACTGGGAGAGGGGACAAACTCAGCATCCTCTCTGCCTTCATCTCCTTCATTCCAGGCTTCAAGACCATTGCACCAAAATCTCTGGACAGCTTTAAAGATTCCAGCTGGACTTCCAGCAAATCTCCCCGGGGCCTTCTCCCCATCTCTCTCTGTGTCTGTTCTTAAACTGGGGCAGAGGTGACTTATTGGGTCCCAGACTTTAGCTTCCAGCATTTGTTGGCCTGAGGACAGTACCCTCTGAGGCTCCTTCATGGCCCTGGATGACCAACCAGGGGAGGAAAAGATGGAGAAGACACTAGGATTGGACAGGAGTCAGGTGGGACAGGTGCAGATCCTGGTGCCAAGGATCTTATTGTTGTTTCTAGGACTCTTTGCGGAGCTCGGAACCTGTCAGTGGCTTGTCAGTCTGCCTGCAAACACATCTTCCTGGTGGGAGATTCTAGGGGATCCTCAGAATGACCTGGAGCTGACCTCTGGCAACTGGAGGTCATACGCCAAGGTTGGCCTCTGTCAGCCTGGACCATACTCCCCCAGCCTCTGCAGGTGGTTCTCCTTCCTCTCCTCTGCTCTCTGGGCCTCTTTTGGGTTGCCTGTTGTCCTGGGATCCTCGGCCTGTTTTCCTTCTGCAGAATCCCTCCAAGGCCAGAAACCCACTTCTACAGGCCTCGAGGAGTGGATGAGGTCATGTGGTGAACCAGGGCAACTATTGGCTGCAAAAAGGGAATCTGAACTCCTAACTTAATTTTTCAGGCCAGTGTTCCCTGTACAACCATTCTTGTTGAGAATTCTGGCAGGAGAGTGATTTTCACTCTTCCGACCCAGTTCTATAAGGTTTCATGGCTTCTCCTGTTCCCTTATGTAAAGAACCAACCACAAGATAAAAATGGTTCTTTGGAATCTTAGCTTGGAAATGGTCAAGGCTGGTAATCAGAATATTTAGAATAGAGAAATTCAGAATGCAATTCACCCATTTGCAGTTCACACCCAGGCCTGGGTTTGGGGGTGAGCGGCAGGTTGAGGAGTGCAAGGGAAAATACAGAAACCCATTTCCTCTGCTTCCACTCTTTTTCCCAAACCTCAGCGGACACCCTTCTTCGTCCTCCTTTGTTGAATCAATGCTCCTTCTAATTGTAACTAAAGATCTAAGGTGCATCTCTGCATGAGGGAGGAATGTGATTTTGCAATCCACAATTCTAATTACAGGGGAAACTTAATAAAAAGGAAGGAAAAGAAAATTAATTGTGTTAAACAAGAGAAGAGGTGCCCAGGAGATGCTATGATTTGTGTAAGGAACTGTGCATTCCAATCATAGCCATGGAAAATGTGTTTCGTGAGTTTCTTAAAACTGTACGACTCTGACGAAAAGTCATATAAAGATTTCATTTCTATGTGTTTGTTTGCTTTTCCCATCTCAGCCTTTTTCGATCGGGCAGACTTATGGAAAACACACAGAGGGCCTTCAAATTCAAACAATAAACAACTGTCATGATGTCATAAAACTATTGCAGTGACCGTTTAAACATTGGCACAACATGTCTGGTTGGCCCAAAATGTCACCACCATCAAATCGCAGACTGATGTGTTTATAAATGCTCCAATGTTAAGATATTAATGGTTTCCTCAAATATGTCTATTTGGGGTTGGTCCCTACAATTGTTCTCAAAAAGGAAACACATGAATGTATTTTAAAGAAATGGACAGCCGAACCGTTTATTCCTGGCACACATGCACACCAGGGTCTGACATTAGCCATGGAGCAGGTGAAATTTAGACTGGTAACAGGGATTATTCCTGGGCCTCCTGCTTTTAAAGTCCTCCTTTTCCTGTTTCCCTCATTTCTCACCTCCTACAGATAGTGCAGGGAACAGGGAGCCCGAGATTGTGTTTGCTACGCCTTCGTGCAAAGCAATTTGATTTGTTGGTTTTGTTTTGTTCCTTCTAAAGGGTAAAGATGCTCCCAATTTGTGGCAGGACTGTGTTTCTTTATGCCCCAGCAATCATGAGACAGCCTGGGAGACTGAAATTCTCTCACCCTGTCCCCTACCCCCGCTAGGGGAAAAAAAAATTCTAGACAGAGCTGGGTTTGTTCAGGAGCTGGGGCGGAGCAATGCCTGGAGAGAATTCCCCTTTTCTGGGGCTGTTTGATGTCTGAATTTTGAAGATTTATATCAAAAGCGAGAAAAGCAGTGTTATGGGAAGGTGGGTTAAGGCTCTTGCTCTGCTTTTAAGCAAATGCTTAAAAACAAACAAATCCTGATTAGGGTGCCTGGACCTGGACCACCTCCTTTATAACTACTGTATGTCCTGCCTGGACTTGGGACATCTTCTTTTACATTTAGGATGGGCTAAGAGTGAAACAAACTTCAAAGTTTCTCTTATTGTCCCCAAAACAACAAGGAAGGCACAGACCCCAAATTACTCATTCAGCAACCTGAGGAATAATCAGAGGAGGTAAAAATTGCAGCCTATCACTGCAGATAAATAAAAATAAAAATAAAAATAAAAGAACTGAGACATTTCCTGAAAGAAAGGGACAAAATTATTTTTGAAAAATCAAATGACAGTGAATTGTAGTGGAGAACCTTGCAAGTCAGCAATGTCAATTTCAAGCTGGTAAGTCTCACTTCCTATCCCCTCTTAGTGAATGTTTATATTAGCAGCACTAAGGAGAGGCTGGTTGTGTGTTTTACTGGCACGGAAATCAGACGGCTGAAGGTTGTCACTCATGTACTCGTGTATTTAGTCTTCCAGCCTATCTCAGTCTTTTAACTACCGGCAGGCAAAAGAAAAAAAAAAAAAAAAAGAGAGAGAGAAAGAGTGGGACTCCTGTGGCAATCAGACTTTTAAATATATTGATTGGCCTAGTAGCCTGGCGGAGTGTATTTCATAAAGCCAAGAGTATGTGAATACGGAAGTAATTTGGCCTAAACAAAAACAACGGCCTCAACAGCAAAAGCCTCCCAATGTACTGTGCTTGGGAACTGTTGAAAGTGTCATAGGCAACACCAGATATTTAGACCAGGATATGCAGGGAATGCAGCTACTGAGACAGCTGTGTGCCATGTTTGTGAGGGTGACCATGGGTTGCCTTCCGTCCACTGCTTTTAGCAGGAAAACCGGTGGTGTGGCAAAAGGGAACCGAAGTATCTAGAACTGGTGTCACTAAGTGAAAATGCCTGGGGTAAAGGTACAAGGGAGGAAAGACCAGAGCGTGATCATCAGGCATTCAGTGATAACAGTGTTTCCCATCGGAGGGGTCCGTGTTGAAAGGCAAGCAGGTGGTTATGGGTTTGAGACAGTGAGGAAATGTCTCCATAGCAGATTGATCTGCCAGGCAAAAGTAGAACCTCTGCCTATTTGATGTCAATATATTAACGTGTCAGATACATTGTAAAAAATTATTCTATGGTTTTTGAAAAGGGAAACACGCAAGAAGCCAGGGAAATTTAAAGGAGGTGATTTTAAGGGAGCAAAAACTCACACCACACGGGAGCGGGTTGGTGGGGCGGGAGAGGCAGGGCGTGTATTTAACTAACTTTGTATTTTGCGACACAGTGTTTTCATTTACAGCTATGTCTAACAAATGATCACGTTTGACATCACTGATAAATGCAACACTGTCTATACCCTATGAGAAAACCAGGGCGCTCAGCTCCACTGAGGCCTCTGCCTATGCATTTGCTTAAGGAAGCGGAGTTGAGTATATATTTTTCTTCTTAGTAAAATTATCTGCCAGAGAAACAATGAAGCATGAAAAAGTACTATCTAGAATATGCATGCCTGTACATGCTTTTAAAATGCTAATTGTTGCATTCCAGGAAACTTTTCAATATATATATGCATATATATATCTTTGTTAATTTCAGTGAATTTTTAAAACTACTATCGCAGGTTGAAAACCATTGCACCTGTCCGCTTGCACACACCACACGTCAGAAAGCAGGAGTGCGCTTTTCTACGGGTCTCTATGAAATCCCCAGACAAGAGGCATTGTTAATTACTATGGAAGTTATACATTTCGTAGCCTTCTTCTCTAACAGTAATTTTTATTTGAAAAGGAGACTAAACAGAAGTCAGGGGTAGGTGGTTCTCCATGACTGCACATCATAATAATAAAGGTTTTTTTTTTTTTTTTTTTTTTTTTTTTTAATGCACAGCTTTCACACAAATTTCATTTTGTGAACACACTGGTAAGTACACGTTGCTGGGGCTTCCAAAATGTGGCGTATCCCACTGATGGCTCCAACTTGCGAGTGGGCTCAGTTCTGTAATTGGAATGAAAGGAATTTTAACACTATTTAGACAAAGACTCAAATGCAGCGTAAAGGGGAAAGCTAAATTTCCTCATGTGATTTCTTTTTTTTTTTTTTTTTTTTTTTTTTTAAATTTAGAGACTTGTTTGTAACGAATGGCACTTACTCAGGATTTAGGAGTTCTTTGTAAAAAAACAAACAAAAATAAACGAAAAAAAAAACATGTATTCGTGTGCCACTCCCAATATATTTCAAAGTTTTCAGTAATTGTTATTTCTAAAAATGCCTTTTACTAGCAGTCAACCTTCACTTAAAACCAGCCACTCAAACCCCATTTTTGCCAGCACCTCTGTACTTGATTTTATAAAGTTTGGGGGCCCAAATCTGCTTCTTAGATTCAACTGCCTTGTAGATTCCTATCAAAATGCTTACTTGCGGCACGAGTGTATTTTTCCCGAAATCCAGGCCTCATTCATCTTAACTGCAATAACTACATCCTGAATATCACTCTTATTTTGAGAATATGTTTGTCTAAAATCTTTCATCAGATGATGAGATTTTTGTGAAAGTGTTATCTCCATTTCTGCTTCTTCAGAGAGAGACTGTGTATCTCTTCTGATCAGGAAAAAAAAGAAAGAAATATCTGAAGTTAAGAACACTGGTTTTCAAGCACATGAGGGAAGGTTTACTATTAAGAATTTTGTTAAGCAAAATTAAGTGTGGCTTCAGGAGCCTGTCCAAACTGGTACATAAAGGAAGGTCAAAATATTAAGGGTATACACTGTCTTCATGTTCTATGAAAAACAGGCAGGAAGGCCAGATGATACAGTGGCCAGAACTCAGCAGCACCAAACACAACCTGTTTTCTTCAAAATAAAGCTTTTGGTCAGAGTTGCAATATTATCTTTTTTTTTTCCATTTAAGAACTGAAAAAAATAAATAAAACAAAAGTCATCGTGTTTGGTTATATTTTCAAAACAGTGCTGGCTTTGTCTAATTTTCTATTAGTGTGCTAGGGGAAGTTGACTAGAGTGCAAAATGCATGCATTTGTAACATTAGTTTCAGAATTTGTGTCATTTAAAAATAGGTCAATGCTTAGGAGTCCTACTAGTGAAGGTAGTTTGAGTCTTTTCAAGTGATCTTCAAGTCAGCCCCCTTACACAGCCAATTTTGGGGTAAATACCCATAAATCAAAGCACAGCCTATATTCCACACAGGTACTATTCTCTGCTTTTATTTCTGGGGATAACATGATCAGAAATCATTACCGCCTCCTCTAAGTAGAGAAGTTCTCCACTGAATATTCACGGTGAAATGTGATTTGATAACACAGTTTAAACCTGATATGTACTTGGAACTATAGAAGTAAGGGGTGGATTTTCTTTTTTCCTATTTAAGACAAATAACCTTCAATGTTAAAGAGAAAAGCAAAACAAAACAAACAACTTTGATTTGTTTAAAGTGTTTATGTGAAATCTTGTCAGGCCTTGCTAGCAAGAAAATCACGGTGTGTAAGAGAAGGAGGAAAAATAATCAGCTTTAGTGAAAAGACAAGTGTTGTTTATCTTTACCATTAAATGCATATGTGCCCAAGCCACCTCTGACGCGCCATGTTTGGCAGGCTCCTCTGTCTCTGGATGGGTTTGCTCCTGATCAGAAGCGTAGGGCCATGTTCAGGAAGCCTAGTTCCACTGTTTTGTTTTGTTTTGCTTTTCCCACCAAGGGTAATTATGGCTCAACTCATTTGAAAACTGAAAACTTTGGGGAGAAAAAAAATGAGGTCATAATTTACATCTTCATTAAATATTGCTAATCACTATATGGGGCCAGGCTCCTCACACCTCAACAAACAGGCTATCATTTCACCCTGAATGACTGCCTCCCTATTCCTCCCTGAATCCTTCTACTGGAGAAAAGGATGCATTTTACACTTTTAATGAGGTTGTTGGGCCCAGTTAAACTGTACACTAAGAAACTGAGTACAGAATCAAAAAAAAAAAATGCCGTTTATTATTGTAGATTATTCTTTTTCTTGATATAACCAGAATTGAAAATGAAAGAAAAGCACATAGGAACATCACGCGTGGTTAGTAACTCAAGATATAAAACAATTTTGCACAGCAAAATATGTAAAAGAAAAGTAACTGACAAGATTTTTTTATATTTATTGTGGTAAGATTTACTTTTCATTTCTTTTTAAAGACAGGATGTCAGTCCCTGAAAATAACATTTACTGATTATTGCCTTTAAAACTGTGGATTTTTTTTTTAAATTACAGAAAATCCAGTTCTGCACCACAATACAACTGTAAAAAAATCTGCATCATCTTAAAACTGTGCAGTAATGCCATTTTTATAACTGCATAAATTTTATTAGCGTTCTAAACAGTTTTGCAAATTTTTTTGTATTATATGCTTGCAGGTTATATCTTAGTGCAATTCAGTCCCAAATACTTTAATTTTGAAAAAAAAAAAAACATACATTTTTTGAATGTAAAATACCCCTACAGATATAAACAGGGGCGTTTCCCCTTTTAATACTTTGGTTTTCAATACAGTCAGTGGTATAGCAAAGACTACACATACCCAACTTATATGTAAGTTGCAAGCACATGCTGTATAAGCTACTTTTTTAAACAGTCCCCTTGCAAACTCTACCCCCCTTAACATCACAACAGTAAACAATTTAGTGCATCAATCTTTTAAAAAATCTACAGCTAAACAGACCTAACTCTTTCAAATTTATCTATAACATTCCTTTATCTGTAGCATACATTTTAACTGGGCTAACAGATTATAAAAACTAGAATTAAATTATATACTAGAAACCCATAGCATTCCACATTTGACAATGACCAAAAGCCAAAAAATAGAAAACAAAACAAAACAAAAAAAATAAAACAAACCAAAAATAATGGGGCATGTTTCTCTTTTTAAAAAATAAATTTTAGACTGCTTTCGACAATAGCACAATTTTAGTCCCCAAAGTGGGGCGTCGCTCTTATGAAAAAGAAAACATTAAGAGTTCTTCAGTGTTTGCCAGGTTAAATTTGTAACCCGTTCGGGTATTTTTGACAAGGAATGCCTTCAGTGCACTGGGAGGCTGAAGTTCTGAGTAACTCAAAGCAGTTTTGGAGCAGATGCAAAATTTCATGGGAAGAAAGCTCTAAGGTTGCACTGTTTTGTGTTGAACTAAAAAAAGTCATGAGGCAATAAAACAAAAGTATGAATGCCATGCTATAAGCCTTCGAACGTCCATTTCCAAGCCAAAAGAAAAAAAAAAGGAAAAAATAATTATACCATACATGTCCAGCATGCAGGCTTTTTTTTTTATTAATATAATGTCTCTTTTCCATAAAGTCTTTGAAACTGTTATAGTTCATTGTTGCTAAGACAAAGTAGCAAGCATAATAATGCATGAGATGAGAATGAGTTTTTTGAATGGCAGACTAAACTCTCAGATTTGGCATCACAAGGCCAAAACTCACAAGTCACACCCAGAAGGTCGATGCAGGCTTGACTGTGGAAGGTTCATGAGGATTTTTTTTTCTCTATTTTAGCATAACAATGCTTAAAAAAAAAAACCCGATGGAACTCGGCACGCTGCAAGTCTATAACATTTCACATTTTTTTTTTTTTTCCTTTGCAAGCTCAGTCTCACATGAAGAACTCAGGTGAAGAAAAAAAAAAACTTTGCTTTTTTTGTTTTCTCTCGGAGGAGATGCGTTGAGAGGAGTGAGGGTGGAGGTTGGAAAAAAGGTGGGCAACACAGCAAGCTCCAAAAGTAAAATAATAAAAAAAAAATCCAAACAAAATAAAACACACACACACACACACACACACACACACACACAGAAAATGAACACCAGCTCATGAACTGAAGGGGAAGAAGGAAAAAAAAAAAGTTGTGAATGATGCAGGCTTCAAAGGTGAGCAACGTTTCACATGAAGAACTCTGCTGAGATCTTTGAACATTGTGCAAGTCCCGGGTTGGGGGGTGTAAAAAAAAAAAAACAAGCTAGCAAGTTATGGAGAATTTCAGATTGACAATCCCATGAGCCAGACACCCATTCCCTCCCCAATTTAAAACAGCCACCGCCTCCACAAACTCGAGCAGGTGTGTGTGTGTGTGTGTGTGTGTGTGCGCGCGCGCGCGCGTGTGTGTGTGTGTGTGTGTGTAGGGGGCCAAACTCGGTCGGGGAGGGGGTGAGGTGGTGGCGAGCGTGGCTCTGGAACTAGCAAGCCCACACCCGAGCCGGACCCCCGCGGAGCACTTATCAGGGTGGCTAGCTGGGGTCGCGTGTCAGACTCACATGAAAAACTCGGGAGAGGACGGGTTGTCGCTGCTGGAGCCGTTTTCTCGGAAGCCGCTGCTCACCAACTTCTCGTATTTCTCCTTGTACGCGTCCCTCTCGCGCACCAGCCTGGAGATCTCCTGCTTGAGGTGGTCGACTTGCTGCAGCAGCTGGTTCTTCTCCGACTCCAGGACGTGTCTCTGCTGCACCCTCTTGAAGCGGCAGGACTGGGCATAGCCGCGGTTTTTCAGGGTCCGCCTCTTCTGCTTCAGCCGGATCACCTCCTCCTTGCTGACCCCGCGCAGCTGCCGGTTCAGCTCGCGCACCGACATGGTCACCAGCTGCTCGTCGGAGAAGCGGTCGTCGAAGTGCAGGCCGCCGCCGGCGTGGTGCGGGTGCAGGGCGCCCCCCGCCCCCGCCGCGCCCCCGCCGCCGCCTCCTCCTCCTCCTCCTCCGCCGCCGCCGCCCCCAGCGCTGGCCGGGCCGCCGCCGCCGCCGCCCGCGCCCCCCGCGCCCCCGGCCGAGGCGGACGCGCTGCCCGCGGCGCCCGGCGCGCCGGCCGTCGGGTGGTGGTGGTGGCCGGCGGCGTGGTGGTGGTGGTGGTGGTAGTGCGGGCCCGCGCCGCTCTGCGCGGCTGCCGCGGCGATCACGGCGGACACCACGGCGGCGGCGGGGCCCATCTCCTCGCCGCTGCCGCCCAGGGAGGCGCCGGCGCCGGCCCCGGCCGCCGCGGCCAGCTGCTGCGCCCCGCGCGCGTAGCCATCAAAGCCGCCCTGGAGCTGGTGGCTGTTGCTGATGAGCGCCTCGACCGCGTCCTCGGGACTGAAGCCCAGCGCCTCGGGGTTGAGCTGCTGTGGGTAGCCGGTCATCCAGTAGTAGTCTTCCAGGTGCGCCTTCTGCTCGCTGCCCGAGCCCGGGCTGGGCGCCGAGAAGCTGGGGGAAGGGGGCACCGAGCTGCACGGCGTGCTCATGGGGGTGGAGGACAGCGAGCCCCCGGCGATGAGACGGCCGCACTGGCTGATGATGCGGTCGGTCTCCACCGGTTCCTTTTTCACTTCAAACTTCATCAGATCGAAGTCATTAACATATTCCATGGCCAAGGGACTGGTGGGCAGGTCGGAGTTGCTCATTGCCAGTTCTGATGCCATTCTCCTGCCGCCGCCGCCGCCGCCGCCGCTCCGCCAGATGGGCTGCAGGAGAGGGGCCAGCGGGCTGTGCTGGGTGGCCAGCGGGTGAGCCAGCTTGCCGGGCTGGGGCGCTTCTAGCTCGCGCGGCGGTGGCTGGCCCGAAACCTCGGAGCGCGCTCACACCCCCCCGCCCTGCCCGCGCCCCCCGCGCCCGCCCTCCCTCCCCCTGCTCACGCCAATGTGCTCGCTCGCTCGCCCCGGCCCCTCCTCGCTCGCTCGCTCGCCTCCGTGCGCGCCGAGCCGGCGACTTCAGGCTCGGGAAGGTCCTCCGCGGGCTGTGGCGGCGGCGGCGGTGGCGGCGGTAGCGGCGGCGAAGCCGGAGGAGCCCGGCCCGGTGCGCGGCGTCCCCCGCTCGCCGCTCCGCTGCGCGCTTTGCATAAGGAAGGGCTCGCCTCGCCGGCCCGGGCTGCAGGCGGGGCGCGCGCGGCGGCCGCTCGGGGCTGGAGGCGCGGCGGGCGGCAGTCCGGGCGGCGCGGGCCTTGGCACGGGGGAGTTAACACTTCATGCTTCTCGCCTCCTCTTCTGCGCAGCTCTCTTTTATTATTATTTTTCTTTCCTCTCTCTCCCTCGCGCGCGCGCTGTCTCCCTCCGTGCAAAGTGCAAGGCAGAGGTGCAGCCCGGCTGGAGGAGAGGGAGGGGGCAGTTGAGTTCTTTCTTGCCTTTTTTTTTTTTTTTTTTTTTTTTTAAAGAAAAAAAGCAAAATAGCGAAGTCCTGGGGAAAGACGAGGCAGAGAGCAAAGGGGGGAGGGGGAGGCCAAGCCGACGAGCAGCCCGAGCTACAGCTCGAAGATGAAAAAAGATTTTAAAGCCTCTGATCCAAGCAAGAAGAGTTTAAAGCAATTGCGGAGTTTTATAGCACTCGTGACGTCAGGTCCAAATGAGAAATTGACTGGCACTCCGGACCAATGGGAGGCGGCGAGAGCGGCTGCGATTAGCATAATAGTATAGAAACAAGGAAACTTTTCGGAGCTGTCAATCAGGGCCCAATCAGCTGACTGTCAGCTGGGACGGGCTGGCTTAACCCTTCCTGCGCCGCTGCCTACCCGGGAGGGAACGAGCCCCGGCGCAAAGTTTGCTGTTAAGAGGGGAAGGAGTTTTTCCAGAGGGGCTTCGGGAATCCGAGCGGACCTCCTGGGAGGAACGTTTTGCTTTTTTTTTTTTTTTTTTTGGAGCGCCAGGCAGGCTTGACATCCGGAGCCCCCGCTCGCCAGGCGCTCACTCTGCTGCTATTGGCCTGACCCCCCTCCCCTGCCTGCCCACCACCCCCAGGATTGTGAATTCGCCTCTCTACTTCGCCTCCTCGCTCCACTTCTGGCACCCAGGTGTCTGACCGGGGACCTTCCTTCTCTGAGCCTGGCCCTGCCGGGCGCTCAAACTTGGTACCAACTCTTTGTCCCGGTCTCGAGCGCCCGTGCGGGGAAGGGGCGGGGAAGGGAGGGATGCGCCGGGGTGCCAGGGTCGGGACTTGGCGCGCGACGCCGCCAGATCGTGCGCCTGCCCGGAATGCTGGGAGTCTGTGGAGAGAGAAAGCCCATGTTATCACTCTCTTTAAAAGGAGGTAAAGTAAGTTGTTGAGGGGCCATTCTTCGCGAGGACTGGCTGCTCGCAGGCGTCCCTTGCCCTTAGTCGGAGCGAGCGCCTCTGCGCGAGAACTCCGGGGAAGCTCCAAGTCAGGTCAGCGGGACTCAGCCCTCCGGCTCCTAACTGGCCGGAGTTTGGCCTTTGAGACTCCTACTGCGCGCTCGCCCTAGCTCTGTTTCACACACACACACACACACACACACACACACGCACGCTCACCCGTCCCCTTACGAAATCGGACCTCTGTTTATCAGGGTCAGGCGCGCCCTTTGCACTTTTACGTTCCCATTAGTTATTTCAGACTTGATCGTGGCGGGGAGCAAGGTGGAGAAACAATACCCCAGCCCTCACCAGCTCCCCTCGAAGGGTTAAATTTTAAACCGCGGTTTCTCGAACTAGCCCGGAAACCCAGAGTGGGGGTGGGGTGGGGGAGGCTGTTCTCCCGCCACCCCCCAGTTGCAGATGCTAATAACCAGTTCAGTTTTCCAGATCGATTCTGTTAAAGTTTATGCAGAAAAAAAAAAGAAGGAAAAAAGAAAGAAAAGAGAAAGAAGAAAACCAACAACTCTGTTTCTAAGATTTTAAAGCGATAGACAAGTCGAAGCAGCAGAGATTTATTTGGAGAGAAAGCTCCTGAAACCGACTCAGCCTTTTGGAAGACCAGCCCGCCCACCTGGAAGTTAGGACTGTTGATTCCTTCAATTAATGAAGTGCATTTGGTGTTGTTAATCGTATTTATTTTACTTTATGAGAGTGGGGGAGACGCTAGGAGGGTGCCTTAAAAAAAAAAAAATTCCGAAAAGCCTGCAAAAGGATCGAAGAGTGCGAACTATGGTTGGAGCGAGTTGGTTTCTACCTCAACAGCGCCACCTTTCGGCAAAGGTCAGTTGAAATTGATCCGTGTCCAGTTTTGTCGATGAAGTGAAAAGCAGCCGGTTACCCAATGTGGGAGGAGGAAAGCAGCACAGAAAGTTAGTTTGACTGAATTCGGAGAACCCGACCCTGTAGGAAAGGGGCCGAAGAAAGTGCTGGCAGATACAGGGACCATATTTTCCCACTCCTCTTCTCCTGGATGGTTGACAAAGAGGCCCGGGACACACACACCCTCAGGGTGTAATTTCTGCCTGAGACCTTTGCAAGGGGATCCCAAGTTAACAGGGCCCCCAAACCCTTTAAAAGTGCTGGGATGGATTTTCAACGGGCTTTATGGCGATATCAATAGAATTAAAGTTACTTGTAATTCAGTGATAAATGAGATGTCTCTAGTAAGTAAGATTAAGTGCAGTGCTATAAAGTTGTTTATCTGAAAAGTAATTCTCAGAAAACCTGACTTCTGACACTTAGTCATATATTAAGCCAGCGTCTTGAACATTGCACTTCAGAACGGTCTTCCCCACCCCGCAGCATACTTTGCTATTTATAACGAGAACCTCAGGTGTCTCTCACTTGCTCCTTGCACCCGATTAGACTTGTGTTAATTTCTCTGATCATAGTAGCCTTCAGTTTCAGCAAACCCAGGAGACTCCCCAAAATATATGTAGGCACATTCTAATCTGAAAAGAGCAGCGCTGTTGGTATTTTTCAGACAAGTAGTTTTTCTTTTCATCGTGACTGCAGAGAAGTTGTTTATAAGGGTAGTTTTGGTTTTATAGGAGCACTTTGTTGGGTGGAATAAACTATGTCTATTACCAGTTTGGGGAAGAAAGAGTGAAGATTGTGTCAATATTTATGCAACCTAGCAGAATTCCCTTGCTTTCCTTCTCTTTAACAATATTTTACCTAGTAATGAAGTTAAGGGATTACGTTTATGTATTTAGAGGAAAATCCAGTTTAAATTACATAAGTATTGTGTCATTTAACATTTTCCGTAACTATAGTTTTCTAGATCTTTTTAAAAGTCAGTAGTAACAAATGTCTGAAGTTTATATTTTTCATGTAAAATATGAATGTATGTATATTTAGAAAGAATTTATTTTTTATTTGGGATATATTTTTAATCCTTTTACATCATATTTGTGTTAAAAGCTGTAAGGTATGATCATTGCTTCTGAAAACAGTATTATAATAAATAATAAATAATAGTTTATAAACAAAGTTTGCTAATGATGAAGACTATGCCATATACATTGATGGCTGAGTATCTAATTTACTGCATTGTTATATATCATTTCTAGAAATTAAATGCCTATGTTTGGGCAGCTAAACATATTATTATCTCAACATTTTTATGGTTTATTTATGTACATTGCTGTCAAGCCATGGTATTTTTATTACTCTTATTGCAAGGTCTTTTATAGTCTCCCATTTTCTCTTGGAAAAAAAAAAAGAGGATCAGAATTATTATTTTTTTAGATGTGTAGCAGTAGTGCTCTCAGGCTTATAACTTAATTCTCATTTTTATCCTTTTTACATTACTATTTAGTGATTCGCAGGGGTGTCTAAACATTTACAGTTCTCTGTTAGCAGCGTTTCTTTTATAACAATTGAGCTCTCTCATTTTAATTAGTACTATTCAGGTTTTTGATGCTGTTCAATTACAGTGGGCCACGTTTCTTTAGACTTCTTTGCTAACATAGTTTGTTTCACTTCTGTCCAAGCCAATCGAATCCAAATACAATGCGAACTGTGTTTTCTTACTGCTTAACCTCCCCTTGCTATATATACTTTAGTAATCTCTGTAGAACAATATACAGTAATTTAGAAACCATGCATTTGTCATCATTGACCAATTCGGCCCAGTAGAATTAAAGTTTCTGAAAGCAATGAATATTTATAGAAGATTTTTGAAGGGGAGGAGGGCATGGGTCTCAGCACATAGAATGTTGTGACACAGTAACATCAGAAACACAATTGTAGTCTCATATCAGTATCTGCATAACAACTTTATGCAAAAATGAAAAACAAAACCCCTGTTCATGTCCAAATTACAAAGATTAAAAGCTTAAAGAAATACATTTTTCCTGATTGTGAGTGATGGCAACTCAAAGATACCATGCGGAAATCAGACATACATAATCTGAATACAACGGGATGCATCAGGTACAGTATCTGAACTCTTTGTTTAGGAGCTGATTTTATGGGGCAGAACTAACCAGTGTCCACTAAATTTCACTCTGAAACCAACTAAATTGATTTGAGAAAGAGTTCTTCAGAGTAACTGGATGATAAGGCATACACGGTTCTTAGGTTTAGTGTTAGATAAATCCTTTTAACAGTCTTCAGTTAGCAGGGTAAGTAAATCACAAATCACTGTTAGCAGATTCATGGAAGAAAATTAATAGAATCAGAGGAGATAATCTGATAAGAGCAGAATTGCTGAGGAAATAGTCTTGCCTCATATTGGAGGATGTGAAACAACAGTCTGATTACTAGGAGTCGTTATGAATAGGTGAATTATGTGCTAAACAATCATCAGAGTAATTCAGCATTTATTAATTCTTTTCTCTTTAAGCAATTCACAGTTGTAAGTTAAAGCCGCTCTCTCTTTCAAGACACATCTTTTATAATTTTTATTAGAGGCAATTTATTATTTGCATTACCTGTATTTACTTCATAATTGAACATTTTGCATTCAAATTTATGTAATGCATTATGCTTGAGAATATTTCTGCCTGATTAGCATAAATAGTCACTTACCTCATGAATTACTAACAAAGTTTATCTTAAAATATAGGTTTTTTTATTAAGTGGAACACAAACATATGTACAATAAATTCTGAATTTCCAGTGCAGTTACAGAACAACTCACATTTGGTTACGGGGAGGCGTGGGAGGAAGCCCGATACAGACAAATGAGATGTGTGGGTTTCTTTCCAAGGGTGTCATTTAGATGGGGGCCTATGTGTACGGTGGGGTAGGGGGCAATGTGAGGGAGAAGGCCTTAGGCTTTTCATATGCTGTTTGCATTGGGTGATCTTGACGTGAAATGTGAATTCTGGAAAAATCTGTAATTAGTGATCTCTGCCTTTGCAGAGAACCGTGATAACAAGTAAATTAGCACTGGAAGAATTTGGGGGGTCTTGTTTATCTTATTTTTGTTTCATTTATTGGCTATTTGTTTTTGTCTCTACAGGGTTCTTCCCTTGGAAAACAATACACATCACTTAATGAAATCCTTGTTTGTTTTGCAGAAGAGATATAAAAAATCAGATGTTTTCTTCAATGAGAATTCTGGGAAGGTGTACCAGACTTCTTCTCTTTCTTCACCCGACAAAGACACCCAACACAGCCTCGCAGATCGGAGGTGTTTAATACATCGTTTTATGCACACACGAACGTGTGGGTTTTAGACAA